ATTCTGTGATTCTGTGATTTTCAACGTGTTTCAAATTCTGGCTAAAATATTGTTCATTAAATATGCCTCTTATGTTCATTTCTCCCAGTTCTGAAAAAATTGACAATATACATACAACTAAGGAAATCAGCAAACGGAAAGTCCACAGTACAACAAAGAAAAGCTGATATAGGCTGTCCCAGTAAGGCCTACATTCAAGATTAGGCCCTCAGCTTATTCACCAGAGCAGTTGCCAGTACCTATTCCATGGTACTACGGGTTCCATGGTACTGTCAACAATGATAAGCGGTGTGAAGATGCACAGCAGAACATTTGGACAGTTATGTCAGTGCAAAGGCCACGTGCTTGTGGTCAAGCTCAATTCAATACCAAAGTTACCTTCTTATTTACATCCTAATGTAGTTTTTCTGGGAATAAACTGAGTTTTCCTCAAAGTGCTGTGATAGATGGATCAGATTTGTCACCTTCAGAATTACAGAGAAGTTAGGTTTTTGGGCATATAGCAACTGAGAGGTGTCTTTGCATCTTGAGTACTTACTGTGCAGGTCCCATTCAGGGGTGAAAAAGTTCTGTTTCCTCATGGTGGTCTATTTTTCCTTCCTGTGTCAGGCATTGTGACCAGCAACGGGGAGACCTGGAAGCAGCTACGACGATTTGCACTCATCACTCTGCGTGACTTTGGGATGGGGAAGAAAAGCATTGAGGAGCGAATCCAGGAGGAAGCTCATTTTCTGGTGGAGAGGCTCAGGAACACACATGGTAGGACATGAACTTTGTGCCTGCTAGGACACCCTGGGTATCTGCAATGAGACAATGAGGAGTGTAGGGCTGCTTTACCAAATCTATGACCCAAGAAGTGGGCATGCGGCTGCTGTTTCTGCTCCCTGCTCCAACAGGCAAAGTTACCACAGCTGGGAGTGGGCCAGTCAAAGGCACTGTGACAGCGTGGAGGGATAAATGTAGAAGATGTGTTGGAAAGCATCCTCTACCCTGTTTGAGTCCAGTCTGTCTGAATGCTAGACAATACCTCCCAGGATTGGTGGGGGTGTGCAATGGGAAGAGGGACTATAAGCTGTTTTTGAAGGCAGGGCATAAGGTTTCAACCTTTCAACCCTTGGTTTCAACCTATAAATGCATTTTTGGTAGTGTATAAGACAATGTTACTTCTAAGTACCTCCCCTGAGAGTGGAACAGTACTAGCCCGGACCACAGGCTTCCTTTCCACAGCCACCCTTCAATCTCTGCTTATTCTGCAAGGTGGAAAAAGCAGATGGATCTAAAAGGATGCTGAAGCATCACTGTTTCCCATGAGCCACTAGAAAATTCAATTTGGCTTCATAGATGAACACTCCTGCTACAAATCAGAGAAAACACTCTTACCTTCATTGCTCTCATCCTTTCGCTAGCACGGTAATACTCTATTTCCTTCGCCTAACTCCAAGCCTCCCTCTCTGGCTCACCTTGTCATGGCATCTTTTACTGTGTACTGAAAGGCTTTGCAAGCAAGATATATACAACTGCAAAGTATAAAGCTGTTATTTACTCTTAATGCAAATAATGAATAGCTAGGACTAGTTATCTACTAGGCTTAAGCATTAATGCACTCACCACCTCTGATGAGACATGTTCTGAATCTTCAATGGCCAGGGAGTCATCAGTCAGACAGAGAAGGGTTGGTGCCATTGCTCTTTGGAATAGGCTGATTCTCAATGCTGCCAAGTTGCCCTTTTTGGACTCCTTGTTTTTCCTTTTTACACCTTTTCATGTTGTTGTTTCTCCTCTTGAAACCTTGAGATTCACCCTATCACTGTCTGCAATTATACCTTTCATTCTTGGGTATAATCGCGCTTCTTTCTCACCTCACAGTTCTCTTCTTAGAAGCTTATGCAGCTGAACTATCAAAACTAGACTTTGATCACAGGCATCCGAAGCCCTAGGAGAAGGTTATACAACTGAGGCTACACTAACAGAGATCATAAACAGGCTCAGTAACTTAGAGACATGGATCAAGCAAAGTCATTATAGATTTTTTGGGTTTTGGTGGGAATCTTTAGGCCTTTTCTAATAACCAGTCTATAAGACAGAAAGGTATGTGTCAGCTGGAAAGGAAACGAGCCACTCAGATAAGCATTCTGCTGAGAACAGGACAAAAGAGATACTTAAACCATTCAAACAGGGAAATTAGTTCACTAAAAAATGGAGAAGAATAAATTGGATAAGACATTCACCATCCTTTCAAACTGCAAAACTCTGGGTCTCAAGGGGATGCAAAACTACCCTGTAGTGTCAGAGGAGGGGATGATGACTGAAAGAGTGAAAGCAAGATAAGAGGGGTTTTTTGTTGCAGAACAACCCTTCAACCCTGGCAAATTCCTAGTCCATGCTGTTTCCAACATCATCTGCTCCATCGTCTTTGGGAATCGGTTTGACTATGAGGACAAGAAATTTTTAACTTTAATTGAGTTGCTAGAGGAAAACAACACGTACCAGAACTCTATACAAACACAGGTGTGTAGTTTCATTTAATTAATAAATTTGTTAATATTTACCATATTTTATTAATAAATATTTATTCATGTTATTAATTTTTAATTGGGGTGAATTTTCCCAAATTTGGAGAAGTTTTTTGAAAGCCAAAAGGGCAGTTAAATAACCAGCTCCTGTATTTTCTTACCTTATGGAATTGCCATTGTATGTCCAAAGAAGGATATCATTGCAAAAGTTGCTCAAGTGAAGTCTATCACTGAATCCAGTAAAACCATAAAGTAAAAGGCATTAAAATCCAGTTGAATAATAAAGACCTACTGTTCCAAAATAGTTTAATTGCCTCATTTTCATACTTAAGAGTTAGGGGAACATTTTATTGCACCCACATTAATCAGAATGTGCTTTTCCATAATTTTATTTTCACAGTTATACAATTTCTTCCCAACTGTCATGGACTATTTACCTGGGCCTCATCAAAAATTGATAAAAAATATTGAAAAAGTTGATCAATTTACTTTGGAAATCATCGCAGAACACCAGAAAACCCTGGATCCCACTTGTCCTCGAGATTTTATTGATGCTTTTCTTAACAAAATGGAACAGGTAATGTAAGAGCGAGAGATTCATTGGATTATAAGAAAACCACCGTTTGAATCCCAGCTTCTTTTCAGTTTTGGCAAGGCACTGAGTTTTTTCAAATACAGAGGGGAACTTGCTTCTCTTGGCTCATCAGCTGTATTCTAGTCTCTCCATTTTCTTATCAAGGATTTTTAAACACAAAATTAACAGCACTAGCCAAAGCTAGGAAAGCTGAAGACCAATCTGGGCGGTGTAACTCAATGCTCCTCCCATATTACAAAAAGTTCATAATCTTATTCAGTAAGTGTACTAGAAATACTGGTGTTCTGGAGAGTGAGTGAGTGAGTGAGTGTTGTATTTTTGAATGGACATTAGATGTGTCTAAAAGCATACAACATGGATATAGGACTTTCCTTTTTAATCAAGCTGTTTAGCTTTGTCATTCAAAATGTTCTGTCAAATCTTCCTCCAGGAGAAAGGGAATGCTCACTCAGAATTCACCGTTGAGACCTTGAGCAGGACCACGCTTGACTTGTTCCTTGCAGGAACAGGGACAACCAGCATCACACTGAGATATGGACTTGTGATTCTCCAGAAATACCCAGAGATAGTAGGTAATAGAAAAAACAAAAAAAAACAAAAACCAAAAAATCTTTTTAATAGGTCATGGGATCATTTTTGGCAATTTCTGTCACTACCACATGTGGCAATTGTCCCCTTAATAAGGAAACACATATTTGCAGTGGGGAGATGGGTATCAACCTTAGTTCTATTTACAGGAAAGAGATATTATTACTAAGTATGTTCATGTATTCCTGGTGCACTAAAAGCAAGCTTTTCTGTAAATACTGGGAGAGGTTTAGGCAAACAGATGGAAGACTTGTCCCTTCAACTCTTTCTTATTTCCTAACAGAGAAAATTCAAAAGGAGATTGACTGTGTGATTGGTCGAGACCGAAGCCCCTGCATGGCAGACCGGAGCCGGATGCCCTACACAGATGCTGTGATACATGAAATCCAGAGATTCATTGATTTCCTTCCACTTAATGTCCCACATACTGTGATCAAAGACACCAAGTTCAGAGGCTATTTTATCCCCAAGGTCTGTTCCACTGTGTCTGAGAAAGGTCATCATCTCTTGAAAAAATATGTTTTATTCATCCTATTTTATTTTCAAACACACTGAAATGTGTTGTAGAATTGGAATAATTCCATTTGGAAAGGGAAAGACTTTTCATCCTCTGTGTGAAGAGGGAGATAGAGTAAATGTAAACAATCAAAGTTCTAATGCATCTGGAAGCAATTTTAAACGCTGTAATCACACTCACCATTAAAATCCATTTAAAAAATATTTGCCATACTAATGGCACACATTCTTATTCATTAAATGCTCACTTTAAACTGGTTAAACTGTGACTATCCTTCTATTCAGCTCTGGGAACTTCTTGATGCCACTTTGCTTTACCATGTCTCCGCTTTAACCTTCTTCTCCTCTTTGTTAATTCAGGACACTATGATATTCCCTACGCTGACTTCTGTCCTACATGATGGCAAGGAATTTCCAAATCCAGAAAAATTTGACCCAGGACATTTCCTGAATGCAAATGGTACCTTTAAAAAGAGTGACTACTTCATGCCATTTTCTGCAGGTAAGAGCTCTTTCTGCTTCAGATCCTACACTATCCTCCCCGAGAACCTCTTTGAAGATTTTAGTGGCTCTGTCACCATGGTCTGTACAGTAATGTCCGGTGATTTGCTAGAGTCTCTTCTGGGAAGCTCTAACACCTGTACTAGAGTTTCAGTTGACTTCCTATTTCAGCACACACAAAAGCTCCCTCAAGGCACTCTACAAGAAAAGACGTATGAAGCGGGACTCAGCCATGCAACTTTTCTCTCTCCAAACCTACCATCAAACAGCAGCAGAACAAGAGAAACCAAAGCCTTCAAACTGCCTTTGCCCATGGAGTACTCTCATATTGTTCTAGACACTTAGCCCCTAGTTTAATTCACTCGCTTCCCCAGAATACTGCAGCACTGCCTGTCCATTTTGAGACATCTGAACTTCCATGGAACAGTGGTTGAAATAAGTTACCAACAAAATACTCCATTGTCACCTCACTTTTTATTATTTTTTTGCTTGCAGGAAAACGCATTTGTGCAGGAGAAGGTTTGGCTCGGATGGAGATATTCATATTTTTAACAGCCATGCTGCAGAACTTTACTTTGAAATCTGTTGTGGATCACAAGGACATTGACATTTCCCCATTAGTCGCCAGTCTGGCAAATATGCCCGGACCTTATGATGTCTCTTTTCTTCCACGTTAGCCAAGTGAAGACAGTTGCCAACTCCCAAACCCATAAAACCTCTGGTTGAATGACAGTCATTTCACCATCTGTTGAGACTGAAACACTCAGAACATTTGATAGATACTTTATGGAGAAAAGTGTGCTTAGAAAATAAAATTGTATGCTGCTTTCATAATCATCTCAGCCAGCTCCAAACAGAGACAGAGCAGGCAATTGCATACAGAAGGAGACATCTCCCTGTGCAAAATTATACGGGCTCGCCTCTGCACCTACCTCACCTAGCTCAGGTTCCTATCTGGCTCCTGATGTCCTGACATGTCACGGTGTGTGCTCTGAGAGCGCTGCTGCTGCTGTCCCTATCACCTGATCCTCTCAGCACAACAGGAACAAATGTTTGTACTGCAAGGTTTTCACAGACTCTATTTGAGATACCTCTCTGCTCTGTATTTTCAGTCTGTTTGTGACCTATTTGTAAGGATAAGCATAAAGCTGTGGGGTGTTTTCATCAGAAGATTATAATCTACTGTATTCTTGCCCTGTTGTCTCCTGTTGTGGGGATGGAATTTATTGATGACTGGGCAGATGGGTCCTTTCTTGTGTGATTATAATGAAGGTTTGTGAAATTAAAATTTACATTACAGAGTAAAGAAGTAGTACACTGAACTGTTTTTCTGAGATCCCAGAACAGGTTTTCATGAAAAACTTTCCTCCACAAAGCTTACATTCCCAATTGTTTTCCAAGACTTATACATATCATAGAATCACAGAAAAACACAGAATGTTGGGGATTGGAGGGGACCTCGAAAGATCATCTAGTCCAAGCCCCCTGCCAGAGCAGGAACACCTAAACTAAATTACACAGGAAGGCGTCCAGGCGGGTCTTGAATATCTCCAGAGAAGGAGACTCCACAACCTCCCTGGGCAGCCTGTCCCAGTGCTCTGTTACCCTTACCGTAAAGCAGTTCCCTGTCCTTCCTGAACTGTGTGGTTGAGAACTGGACACAATATTCCAGATGTGGCCC